TTAATGATATTACGTATTGAACAATAATTTTGGCGTTATGCTTAATTTTTTGTATTATACAGTTATTCAGTCATTGCTATTATTATATTATTATTCTTTTAACTAAGTGACTTTAAAGATGTTTCTGACATGAGATATTAGAACTTTAGATTTCTTCATAGGTATTTCGAATTTTTCGTCTCTAAGAATAAAGTTTATGCTGATATCAAGTTTATTAGTCCAAGGTCCAAGGTTTTTTTATTTAATTTTGATTTGTTCTTAAGGATTCAAGTACTTTACTATTAAGATCCTTAAGTTTTCTTAACGGTAAAATAGTTTATTATAAACCTTATGTGGTCTACTCCAAAACTCTAAATACAATTGTTTATTTAAATTAGTAATTATAGTGCTTTTTAATGTAGTTAATAGTTTTTCTATTCTTGCTATTGTCTCATGATTATTATTTAACTCTAAATTAAGCATTTCATGTCTAAAATTATGTACAAATCACTATGTGTTTGTAATGCTCTAGGTTCCTGTCTATGGATCAGTTTGTTTAGTTTAGTTATATGAACTTGTCTGCAGATGGATATTTTCCAAAGTTTGGCAATCATAATGGGTATTTTTATTTTTGAACTTGCTGCTCTAACCAAGTCAATTGATTTGTGTTGATACCGATCAAGTAGATTCTTCAACCATGACTTCTGCCTTCGGCCAACAGATCTTCTTCCTTGAATCTTTCCCTGTATTATGAATCCCAACAGTTCATATTTTGGTCCCCTCATCACGTGGCCTAGGTATTCCAGTTTTCTGGTTTGTATTATAGTGGTGATTATTTCTGTTTCTTTGCCAACCCTCTCCAGTATATCTATCAGTTCATGATATTTTTAATACTCTACGGTATAATCAGAGTTCGAAAGCCTTGATTCTTTTTAAATTGTATTTTTTTAATGTCCAAGTCTCAGCTCCATATAATAATATTGAAAATATATAACAGCGAATGATCTCCAAATTTAGATTTTTGCACGTTAGAAGTGGCTTCATTCGTATAAGTGCTGATCTAGCAATCCCTATTCGCCTGTTTATTTCTGCAGTATGATCATTGGTTTCATTGATCAAAGATTCCAAGTACTGATATTTTTCTATTTGTTCTATCACGTTACCATTGATTGTAAATAGGTGAAGTATATTATGTGGTCTTTTTGTAATTAGCATGTAATTCGTTTTTTTATATTAATCCCCTTGTCAGCACTATTCATACTTAAGCTTTTGATAAGATGTTGTCGATCTTTTATACTCGTTGCTATGATCACAGTGTCGTCTGCGTGTCTTAAGTTGTTCATTATTTTTCGATTAACGGTAACTCCGACTTTGATATTATTAAACGTGTTTTGGAAAATTTATTCAGAATATAAGTTAGACAAAAGTGGCGATAAAACACATCCCTGTCTAACTCCTCTACACATCTTCATTTCTTCTGAGTGTTGCCAATATTGGTAACCTAACGGTTGTATAACCTAAAGGTTGTATCTCTCATTACGCATAACATGCCCCAGGTATTGCAGCTTCCGTGTCTTGATGGTTTCCAATACTTCCATTCTTTTGTTGATTTTTCTCATGACTTCGTTGTTTGTCAAATGCTCGGTCCATAAAATCTTCAGGATTCGTCTATACATCCACATTTCAAATGCTTCCAACTTTTTAGCAGTCGACGCGAGTTATGGAAGCCGGCCCTGTTCCAGTCATTCACCTAAGAATGATGATCTAGGATTTGTGTTTTAATGAACTTTTGCAATAAGATTAGTTTACATTTTTTTATATTTACTAAGCTATCATTTTTACCATTGCGTTTACTTCAGTCTGTATATCAACTTCAAAGAAAGAACATTATAATTTTATATAAAAGTTGTCCGATCTTTTTTCGTATTTTGTCATCAATTAATAAAGTATTTATTTTTTAAAAATAGTTTTGAATAAGGGAAAACTATAAGTCGCGTTAAGTGTCCTTGCTTCCATCCCATAAAGCAGAGTCGAAAAAATATAGCACCTTGCTAGCCTAACTCTCAAGTCCAATTTTAGTTCTCTTGCACAAAGTACCTTTCTCATTTTATTGAAGTTAGTACGTGCTTTCTCTATTCGAATTTTGATTTCTTTGGAGTAATCGTTTGTGTGATTAATTATTGTGCCAAGATAATTGTAGTTTTCAACTTATTTTAAAGTTTTACCGTTAATTGTCAGGCTTTCATCATTATTTTGGGTTTTTGATAACCTCATAAATTTAGTTTTCTTGATATTTAATAATAATCCATATTCTTCTCCATACTCAACTATCTTGTTCATTAGCTTTTGGAGGTCTTGGAGGTTGTCTGCTATTATGATAGTATCGTCCGCATATCTAATGTTGTTAATTGGTGTTCCATTGACCTTGATTCCTGTTGTTTCTCCCTCAAGAGCTCTTTTCATAATTTCTTCAGAGTATGCATTGAATAGTAGTGGTGACAATACACACCCCTGTCGCACCCCTCTTTTAACTTCGAACTCTACTGATATGTGTTCATTAATGCGTACGTGTGCCTGCTATTTTATTTCTTACTTTATCGAAAATGCTTGTTTTTTAGTGATGGTTATAAATGCCACTCTTGTGATATTATTTCCGTATCGTACAACGTGTTGAAAAAATATACCAATAGTTCTAAGTTATCCTCTTTCATTAGTTTTAACAGTTCTACTGGTATTTCATCTAATCCAGCTGCCTTATTGTCTTTAGAGTTTTTGATAGCATATTTGATTTTATCTATCGTGATCTGCTGTCTCTCTAAAGGATTTAATTCTTATATTTTCTGGATTTCACCTCTTTCATCTTAGAAAAGTTCTCTAACGTACTCCTCTCATCGTCTTGATTTCTCTGGTAAATCTATTAGTAGTACTCCTTTTTTGTCTTTTATGTGTCCTTACTGTCTATTTTCACTTCATATTATTGACACTTCTCTTATTTTTGTGCATATTTCTCCTATTATATTTTGTTTCTAGTTCTTCTATCTCTTTCCATTATTTCATCAAATAGATTTCCTTAGCTGGTTTGATTTTTTCTTTAATTATCCGTTGTATTTCTGTATACTTCTGTAAATCTTTTTCTTTATATTTCCTTCTTTTTTCCATCTGTAATAGTATTTCTTCTATTATCCACTGTTATTTAGCCTCTGACCTATTTGTATCAAACTTTATTGAGCTGGTTTCAGTAATTTGTTTTTTATATTACACTTTTTAGTTACATCCATAATTTGGTTGTTGTCAGTTAGTGTTTTTTGCATATTAACATTCACATTATTTTTTAATTCGTTTTTTATTTCTTGGTTTTTTAGCATTCTTACATTACTTTTTGGTTGTTGTTTTCTGAGTTCAATTCTTTTTAATTTTATTTTAATGTCAGCAACTAACCGATTGTGGTCTGAGTTAACATCTGCTCCAGAATAAGATTTAACTGAGGTTATAAAGTTTTTAAATCTGCTATTTATGAGTATAAAGTCTATCTGGTTTCTGACAATGTGGTTTTCTGTATGTGAAGAAGACGTCCATATATATAGTCTTCTCTTAGGAAGCTGAAACCAAGTATTGGCAATTGCCAATACTTGGTTTCTTTCTAATTCTTTCTAATTCTTTTCTTGGCAGAATTCTATGAGCCTTTCTCCTCTCTCGTTTCTAGTTCCTAGTCCGAACTGTCCAACTATATTTTCAACTGTACCTACTCCAATTTTTGCATTAAAGTCTCCTAAAATGTAAGTAATATCTCTAGATTTGGTTGACTTGATTGTATTTTGAAATTCTGAATAAAACTTTCCGATCTCATCTTCGGTCTTATCAGCTGTGGGAGCATAGACTTTTATCATATTAATATTACAGTTCCGTGCTTGAATTTTTAGCATTATTATACTTTCTGAGATTTGAATCACACCTAGCACTGATTTTCTAATAGAGTTGCTAAAGATGAAAGCTACTCCGTATCGATGACCAGTTTTGTCTACTCGAGTGTAATAAATATTGTGGTTATTTATTGATATCTCTCCATTTCCTGACCATTGTATCTATATTTAGCCTCTCTTTCTCTTTAATAACATTCTGTAGTTTTAGAGGGTAAACACAAAACTTGTTTAAAATAGCATAATTCTTCAATACCATTCCAGTTTCAATCATAATGTTTCTCTATCAATTCTCTAACATCAACTGATACACTACAGTGGACTAGAAATTACCTTCAATATATTTTGGCCAATAGTTTCATCTTTATATTGGTGTATTGCTTCAAACTTGAAACTACTACATCACCATACCTGGCTCTTGTATTAGTGTAGAAACTCATTACGAATACAAAGAAAATTGGTTAAATAACAGCTAGACTCAAATCTAACTTCTAAGGAGGAGGAAATAATTATGTAAACAGATGATATAGGCAAGATAATGGCAAAAAAGGTTTTGCCGAAACGTCGACAAGAAAATGGTTCTTCTAAAACTAGAAAATGAAACTTCTAATAGTTCGTCAGACGCTGGTATTGATGTCCCACAGTAATTCATTCGTTTATTCATTTTTAGATGACGCATAAGTTTCTAGAAAGCTCTCAAATTATATCTTTGCCTTACAATATAATGTTTCTAATATTTTCTAGTTCGTCATTTTGGACGGTATATATACACCAACACATCGAAACAAGCGTATTGACCTCCATTATTCACCGTTTCCACAAACTAGCTAGTGCTCTGAGATGACGTTTGATTCGATAATGCATGTACCGTGTGACTGAATGTCTCGATTCGAATAAAATATCGTTTCGAATAAATTATCGTGTAGTGTTTGTCGTCTGATTGGGCTGTATCTCAAACTGCTGGTAGCCTGCAGCTCAGCCTCAAATTAATTGTCGTAGCATTCGATAAAATATAGATTTACTTTCTGATTCATTTAGATTAAAATAAAGGTTAACCTAGTAAACAATTAAGATATTTCTTGAATTCAGCAGGTTTAATTTTAGGACTCATTGTAATCTACCTTTGTTTTTAGAATTATTTGGTTTAAGAGATACAATACCAACATTAAATTTATATCACAGAGTAAACAAAAGCTATTACATCGGTAATATTTTTAAAGTAAGTATTATTATGTTTCAATTATAAAATTCAAATCATAATAGCATTGAAAAAACTACTAACATAAATACATTTTATATTAAGGTGATTAAAATACTACTGCATACATTTTTTATTACTATAATCTGTTAAGAAAACTCATTTATTCCAGATATCTATGGTATTAAATGAGCATTGAGCTCTGTGTGGACCCTGTTAGTAATGTCTGTCCCTAGGTGACATGCTATGCTGGACTATCTTCCATAAATTGTTTCCTATATCTGGACTTTGCGTGTAGTACTTTTTGCATAATTTTGTTTTCTTCTTTGTTATCTTTATAAGCAATTCCGCTTGTTTATTGGCGGATTAACACCTCTATGGAAGGTTGTTACTCTATTTTTCGAGCGGTCGTCCGATATTTCTTCTGTCGATTGGTGACTTATCCCTTCCTATTCATTCATTTATTTACTGTACGTTACATTTTTTTCTAATGTCTTTACATATCTTTCGATCTCTCAGCTTATTTCCTGTAATTCTTGTCAGTATTTTCATCTCAGCCGTATTCAGTGCCTTTCCAGTAGTTTCATAATGTTAATGATTACCAATATCCAGTTTCAAATGACACCAGCTTTTTGGTCAAATTTAACAAGCATGTTGTCATTGTTTGTCTAGTCGGGCAGCTTTTTTGTTAACTAGCATACTTGTTTCCTCCAAACATCTCATTATGTCTTTCATTTCTTCCTGATTTGCCAAGATTATTAAAGTGTCATCAGCATATCTCACCCTTCCATTCGTCTAGTACCTTTCGCATAATGTGTTCGCTGTAGATATTAAACAGAGTTGGCGAGATTATACATCCCTGCCTGACACCTGCCTCTGTTCTGAAATGATCGGAATGGTTGTTGTTTATTTTAATGTGCACTTATTATCTTCATATAGACTTCTAATTAGTTGAATTAAGTGGTGGGGTGTTCCCATTTCCGCTAGTATGAACCATAGCTGGACCATTTGACTTTATCGAAGGCCTTTGTGTAGTCCAAAAAGCACATAACCATAGAAGTATTGAATTCACGAGTTTTTTCGATTAGCTGTTTAACAATAAGGATGTGTTCTCTTGTGCCTTTTCCTAGGACAAATCGCTTGTTCTTCTAATATCTGAGGCAATAGAAAAGCTTTTAATCTTTCATGTCTCATTTATCAGTTGTTAATCATACACGTACTGTGAAACTTTTTTAGTCACCATAATTGCAACACCATTTTTTCCTGTGTTATTTGCTCCTGATATGTATACAACATGATCTGCCGATCGGAAAGGACAACCTTTCCAATGGGTCTCCGAAAGTCCGTATATTTCTATATCCTCTCTTTCGACTTCTCTTTGTAGTATATGCAGTTTTCCTGGTTTCAAGAATCCTAGAACATTCCAGGTTGCTATTCCCATTGCTTTTTTTAACTGAAAATCTGATTTTCTTCCAGGCGCCAATTTCGCATGTGTTGCCTGGTTGCTTACAAACACATGCCCGGTAGTCTATTTTCCACTAGTTGGCCCGGAACCAATTGAGCGCCGATCGCTAATCGGATCGATTCGATATATTCATGATGGTGTAGTCACGGAAATTTAATCAGGTGGTTTCCCCTTGCCTGCCTGCCAGTTTAGACCATTTTTTCGTCTGATCCGACTACTATATAGCACTGATATCTGAAACTTGATCATAAAAATTTAATTTATAAAAGCATTTTATATTACAGGGCAATGTATTGCATGCCGAACAATTCTGTAGATACCACGACATGAGTTTGGTGAATATAGAAACGCAAGAAGAGAACAACTTTTTGGAAGAAAAACTACTTGAAGCAGGTATTTAGGTTTTTCTAAAATCTTTTAGCGAAACCACTATTTACTATTAATATTAAAGTCTGAACACAAAAAGTAGTCAATTATTGAAGCAAAGCGCTGGGAACTTTTTTTCATATTTTTTGGGATTCCAAAATTAACATACAGATTGAACGAATTTAAAACAGATCATACAATTTAATATATGTCTGTTTGAACTGCATTTGAAATAGTGGACCAATCTAAAACTTGAACAAAAATAAATCCATACCTGGGTATAGACATTGTATAAAATATCTTTCAACTATCTGTCTCGCAACAATGTTGTTTGCGTAAAGGAAGCGATAATAGTTCAGGAAATGAAGCTCGAAAAAAGTTAAAACTTTTTTGTCCTGCATGGATTGAGTTGAAATTTTAACAGAAGGTAGGTGATAGCCCAAGGATCAAAATCTATATCGAACCGAAGTGCGCTGAGGGGTTTTAGGGGTGAAAACTACCCCTAATTGTCAAAAATTATAAAATAACATATTAAACCTGAATATGTTTAAGATTTGGTTTGAATTAGTTAAATAATGATTATTTTATACTTTTGAATAGAGTTCCATCATATGTCAACCCTTAAAAAGTAACGCTTGTTAAAGATTAATGTAAAAAAATACTAATTCTAAAAAAACGATTTCGCCTTAGATCGATTTGGATAAAAATTTGGATTTAAAAATTATAAAATAACATTACATATTTCAAGATGAGTGAAATTTGGTTTGGATTAGTTAAAAAGTGATTTTTTTATACTTTAAAATACAATTTACTCACCGGATGGACCGCAGACGTTGCCATGCCAATGATCATAGTTGTCGAGGCATTAACTCAATAATAGTAAAAAAAAAAAAATACAATTTCATACATTTTCAACCCTTAAAAATCAATTGTTATGAGTGCTATAGGTGAAAACAATTTTTTGCCAAAATTTTGCAACTTTGCAACTTTTGAAAATCACTCCTTACAACATTGCAGTTTTTATAAACTAATTTAATAGATATAAATTGAAAAAAGTAGAATTAAATACAAAAAAAATTATCAACATAAAAAGGCACCATATATTCTTATACATTTACATAAATAGTTGAAAATATTTACATTTATAGGTAAAACAATTATAATATTAATTTTATTCGTCATCAATTACATCTGCATCGTGATCTATGTCATCCTCATCTTCTTCAATTATTGGTGGACTATTATTGCACCCTTCACCTGAGCACCCAGAACAAGTAAAGTTACAGTATAAACCAACTTTTCTGCACCCATATAAAACGCCACATCCTTTTTTGCATTGGCAAAAAATAATTTTCAAAAGTTCATCGGGTGCAGGTTGTTTGTTCATGCGTACGGGTAATAACAAACCATCTTTGGAATACCATTCCCAATCTGTTGCTCTGATATTTTCATTGTCAAGCCATTGACATATGAGCAGATGTTTTATTCTGTTGTATAGGATTTCAAAATAAGAACGCTTAAAATTTCGAATGTATAACGCCCCACTACCTAATATACCGGTTTTGTAGATTAGATTATTATGCTCCGAAATATACTGTACTATACTAATTTTCCGGAAAAAAAATTAATTGGTTTTTTTTTAACTTATTTCCTTCATTTTTAACGATAGAGTGTTTCTTCAAAAACCATTTTGTAGAGCTTTTTACGAGCTACAAGGATCTGTGAATTAAATCTTTTTGGAACCCTTGGTTTTTAAATGGGGTGAGTTTAAAGTTCTCGAAGAAGATGGTGCTTGATCGTAAATCGATGCTTTAAACGGCTATATCTCGCCAAATATTCATTGTACAACAAATCTAAATAAAGGAAAATTTTAGTCATTAAAAAAGCTAAAATTTAGTACATTTTTATTTTATTCATATATTCAGTAAAAATTAATAAATTTAATATTTAGAATATTTAAAAAAAGAAGGGTAAAAAATATGAAATTGTAAATCGTTTCTCACTTTATGCTGTACTTTTTCTAAAACTAATCATTTTAAATTGGTCAAACTTTTTAGACGTATTAACAATACATGTACAAAGAGAATTGCAGAAGGGTGAAGATCGATTTTAATTATGGGGATGGTTAGGGAGTTGTTTTCATCTATTTTTTCGTAAAAAATGAGGTATTGACCTTATTTTCATCATAACTCACTCAATTTTTGAGCTAGCGTCTTTTTTTATGATAGGTATATTTTGGTCTTTAAAAAAGGTTCTGTGAGTTTTCTTCCAAAAATGCATCATTTTCCCGATATTTGACTTTGAATCTTTCAAATTTGGCATTTGAAGAAAACCGCTAAACATTGATAGGCCGTATTTCGGTTCCTGTTATATCGCAAAAACATTTAAAAAAATGAATTGTATTTGTCTTTTTAAGAGCTACAAATTTGTCCTCTACAATTTTTTTGATAAAATGCACCATTTTCGAGTTATTCGCGAAAAATCGATTAAAAATGTCGATTTTTTCGTCCAAAAGTTGTTACTTCAATCGCGAATAACTTGAAAAATATCAGTTTTACAAAAAAAAATGTATAGAACAATTTTTGTTTAGAATCACTTTTTTAATCGAAACCTGTAGTTAAAAATTTCACCCCCGAGATGGGGTGGCAACCATCCCCAAGGCTTTGGCGCACTTTGGTTCGATATTGATTTTAATCCTTGGCTATTACCTATCTTCTGTTAAAATTTCAAGTCAATCCACGCAGGACGAAAAAATTGCGAGGTGAAATGCTTCATTTCCTGGACTATAAGTGGTTTGACAGCATAATAAAATCGTAGATTTATTTGTAGCTTTCAATTTTTATGATTTCAGAATCCAGCAGCCCGCTGACGTATTGGATTTTTATAATATAATTATTTGACAACCTTTTGTTGGTCAACCACCTACAGCAGAATTGAGCCGAAATACGTAATATTTCGTATGTTCCGAATTTATTTCGTTTAATCTGTATATCGTCGTCAATACAAGAAAAACTTTTTTTTGTAATATAGGGAAGAAACATTGGACTTAGGACATAAAAAGGACTGCCTGTAAATCCATTGTCAACACAATGGTTTCACTGTTTTTATCTTTAATTTTCTCAAGTCTCGCTTCTTGTTTTTTTCAACTGATATTCACTAAATGTTTCCTGGTCAAGATTTCCTGTTTTAAAAGAGACCCATATTTTACACAAATCTCTTTGAGTCTATACCAAGCCAACTCCTTTTCCAGAAAACCGTTTTTAAAAGAAAATAAAGAAAGACTATTGATTCCTTTTTCTGGGCACCATTTGTTTTTGTAAACATGGTAAAGTTGACATTTGCTTTGCCATAATGATTCTAGATATAATTTAGTCCAGAGTTGACAAAAACATTTTTTTGCATACCCTTCGTTTATCATTTTCAATTTTAATGTCTTAGACCTCCGTGAAACATCTTTATTTTTTCTATCCCTCTTCCGTTTTGGTCAAATACTACCTAATATAGATACTCTTTTCTGTCCATGTCCATGTCCAGAAATTATTAAAAGCATATCCTTTGATTATCTGTTATGGTTTTACATTTTAGTTGCTGATTTTTGTTAAAATGTACACAGGAGCAACGTGGTCGGCCTTGTTTTTTCACATCATATTTCCACTATCCATGTTCTTTCCTTCTTCTAAGTACTTCTCACCTTTCCCCTTTCAGTTTTTGAATACTAGCTTGAACATACTTCTGAACCTCTCTTCCTCTTTTTCAGCGTTTTTAATCTGTTGGCACTGGAATCGACATGACAATAAGTGTGGGTTTCCATCATCTTCTGCAAGCTGCGTCCTTGTTATTAAAATATTAGGCCCTATTTATAGCCCTAGCCTAGCCCTATGCTATTTCACCCTGGTGCAAGTTATAAGCAAAGAAAGTATGACCAAATCAACATTTTCTGTAATATTTTAGTATTTAGTACTCCTAGCTCTTTTATTGCATTGAACATTTCTCTTAGTAGTAGTTAGACAGTCGTAATAGGCTGCATTGCAGTCTATTAATATATAAATTTAAGTACATATTTTATTTTAGGTCCCCCCAATGAGTTTTTCTTCACTTCTTTCACAAGAATACCTGACAACAAACTTTGGATTTCTTTAACAAGCGGAAAATCACTTCAATATTTCAACTGGCAAAAAGATGAACCAAACAACGTTGTAAAAGAAGAACAGTGTATTCTTGTGCGTGTAGAAAATAAACAATTAAAATGGTACGACGGATTCTGCTGGACTCCCTACTATTTCATCTGTGAAGTTATTTGGACAAAAACGGACCAGAAATTGCTGCAAGTCTTAAAAAATAAACTCGAAAAACAAATTGAAGTGCAAGGTAATATGAGGTAAGAAAGAGTAGGAAAGAGTAGAAATTTTAGTGTAAAATGTAGAACATTAAACTTAAAAATCGACGTGTTTTAGCTTTTTTTTTTTAAAGGCTTTTCATTTAGGAAATATCGAATTTATTCTATACTTTACGGACACACTGTATGTATTTTAAGTTAGTAATTATAAATTCACAACCAACTGCTTTGTTTCTGATTAAGTATATGTATAACCTAGAATTTTATATAATTTTACCTAAATTCATGTCTGTAACAGTTTTTTCTTCTTCTTCTTCTAGTTCCATGACCGTTATCGATCGTTGGATATCATGTTGGCTACCATATTCGCTATCGTGACTTTATTGACAGCAGCTCTAAATAACGATGTAGTTGATTTTCCATACTCTTGCCTTAGATTTTTCAGTCATGATGTTTTTCTTCTACCAGAACCACGATTACCTTGGATCTTCCCCTGAATGATCAGATGTAAAAGATCATATTTTTCAGGGTGTCTCATTATGTGACCGAATTATTCCAGCTTGCGTTTCTTTATTATATTGACCAGTTGTGTTGTTTGATTCAGCCGTCAAAGGACCTCCTCATATCTAACTCTGTCGACGCAGCTTATTTTCAGTAGTCGTCCGTATACCCACATCTCAAAGGCTGTCAA